TTTATTTAGGGGAACTATCCCACAGGTTTCTTTAGGCCCAGAAGAGTCTGGAATAAACCCCACGCCATCCTGGTAGGAGATACCCTCATCTTTCTTCTGCTGGAGGAGCAGGGAGTGCTAGGAGAGCTGTAGCAAGCTCTGCAGTCTGGGCAATCTCAAAGGATGTCAGATGGAGCAATGTTAATGGACTTCTTGAACAAGGCTGGCAGTACAGTCAAGTCTTGATTAGTATGTCCAGACGTGTCTCCTTGCCACCTTTCTGATCATCTGAGGTGTTACTCTTCTGAACAGAAACTTTGGCTTAACTACAGTTAGTCATTGTAGCCACACACCCAAGTTCTTGTAGCTGGTTTATTCAAGTCCTTTTCTGTTTCAAGGTGTTGACATGACAGAGATCTCGGCATCATCTCTCGCATGTTTCTGTGTTTCTTGTTGTACCTGCCGTGTAGATGTGCCATAGCTGGAATGGCCATAATTCACCGTTCTTTGCTTCAGGCTATGGTGGGCTGTTCAAGATGGGCAGTGGGGCGAGCTTCATAACATCCTGTCCGGGTGATGTGCACAGTCTTAACTTTCAGCTGTATTCAGCTGGCAGTGTGTTGAGTCCTCTCTTTTCCAGCCTTGCCCATTGCCATCTGCAGAACTGACAAGCCTAACTTTGTAGTACTGACCCTTGTCAGCCTGGTGTCCTTGAGGGTGGTCCCGTAGGGAGCTTGTACGCAGGGGGATTTAGATGCATTTTTAAATCGGTGGGTTTGGGCTGTAGTAGAAAATGCATTAAAATACGTTAAAGGTCACATATGGTTTGGCTCTTTGTTTTTCTTGAAATTCCCAAAGATGTAGGATTGTTGCTTCCCTGAATCATGCCCTTGATGATAGGGTGCAAGTGGGATATGGGAAAGGATATATCTTATCAAACAAGCACGAGGTGATTTTGCAGGAGGAAGTGCATGAACTTTTGCTTATTTGGTTTACAGTCTCTCTCTGCCTTTGCCATTGCAGAGGTTAATAGGTAATATTAAAGGAAAATTAGGGCTCCTAGGTGATAGCAGTATAGTTACTCATTACTGCTCAGAAACTTTGGGAAATAAACGTTGTGTGCCTTGTACTGGAAAGGCAGTCTTCACACATGTAAAGAAACAGCTATTTCAGTACAACAGAATAGTTTCAGTGTTGCCCACGTAAAAATACTGTTCATCAACAAACACAAAAATCAACTGTATTTGCCACCTTCTTTCAGAAGCAATGCATTTGTGAATTAAATAGAAATACAGATCTTCTGAATTTATTTATGTTTCCTTATTTAAAGAACTGTCTTGAAATGCCTAAAGAATTAAATACCAGTTATAAGTATTGTGACAAAAAAATTGCTCTAGCTGTTTGGTGAAGAAGAATGCTTATTATTTTAAAATACTTGAGTGTCCTGTGGTCGAGATAGTGGTCACAGCATGTTTCATGCATTAGTTTCTGTTAGGTCCTTGCTTCGATACCAAAGGACACATTTGCTGTTAGGAAATATCACCTTCACAGAGTCATGGCATTTTTGAAAATTGAGGATAGGGATCATCCGCTGCAAATCCTCGCTGCTTGGGGTTGCTTAGGTATAATGCATTTCAGTTGAGAGCTGGATGCGCCGTCTTAATGTTTTTGTAAGGTTGCAAGTGGATGTATCAGTACTAAAAATAGAGTTGTGTCTGTGAAGAAACATGTGCTGAGGATTGAACTTTGCCCTGCCAAGTCGAAGGAAATTTTTGCTGTAGATTAACAATGTGTGTGTTTTCTAGTTCAGTGAGCAGAACGGGCTCGGTGGTCTGGCTCGGGATGGGAGCTGCCTTTCCTTGGCCGTGCCTGGAGAGCAGTCATGCTGCAGGAGACGTCCAGCTAGTGTCTGACTGTCGCAGGAATGATTTGAGGGAAAGATTTGAATCGGGGTCAGTCTAGAGACAGTTTGGGTATATAAGTTTCCCTTCGGTGATGACAATATCTCAAATGGACACTTTTGCCTAATCCCAGTTGCAGCCCTGTGAACTCCAAAGGCTCGGAGGCTGGATCAAAGACCTGTCTTTGCAACAGGCGTGACTTTCTTTTGTTTCAGAAATAAGTGGGTGACTTGTTTTTGCTGCTAAATAATTTATTCTCTAAATGTACACATTTATTGAGTTACAGTAAATAAATTATTGCCTGCCTTTTGTTTTGCTGTTTGTGGGATGTTAAAGTAATTTCAAGGCAACTTGCAGACAACAAGGCTTTTTGTTCCGATGGGTACAACCGTCTTGAAACAGTTTATACAGTGCTGCTGGACCACTCTGGCGGTATCCCTACAAGATGCATATGGGTACTGCAGAGGAGGAATCTCTTAAGAATTTTTTTGCCCATTTGACACTGATATACACAGCGTTGGCGTGGGAGAGACCTGTTTCTGTGACTGGTGGTGGTAGTTAATGTGCTTTGTTTTGGGTAATTTGGTGGTTGCTGGTCTGTGTTTTACAACCTGTCTGACTTTGTCTTTTATTTACTATTTTTGCCCTGTTTCAGGGAGGGAAAAAACCCTCAAATTTTTCTTTTTTTGTTTGCCAGTTGTCAATGTTAAATGTTTCTTCTTATTTAAGCAATGGAGTCATGTATTTTATAAGAGATATACCATCATCGTTCAGTTTTGGAGTAGAGGACCTGCTCCCTAAATTGCCAATCCCGTGTCCCTGGTATGTTAAGTTGCCACCTGCCGGGTCGAAGTGGCTCACCTGAGGGTCAACTCTGTTGAAAAAGCCGATGGGAGGATGGGGAGAAACAGGCTGGAGGTGACCAATGGGGAGAGGAGCTGGATGAAATAGAAGCTGGGGCTGAGCATGTGCAGTGTGTGCTTCAGCTGCACCTGTACTGGGAGGAGACACCATCTACCACCCCCAGAAAAGTCGTCCTCAGGATATAGCAAGGGAGATGGCAAGTGCTGTCCTGGTGTGATCTTGCAGCGGAACATTTTTGTGGTTCTTGATCTTTCACGTGGTTTCCGTTGCTTGCCTGTGTCTAGATACCTGGGAGGTCCCATTTGAGGAGATCTCGGAGCTGCAGTGGCTGGGCAGCGGCGCACAGGGAGCCGTCTTCCTGGGCAAATTCCGGGCGGAGGAGGTGGCCATCAAGAAAGTGAGAGATCAGAACGAAACGGATATCAAGCACTTGCGGAAACTCAAACATCCTAACATCATCGCGTTCAAGTAAGTTGTGAAATTTGTTAGAAACATACCTGTAGCCAGGGATATTGCTTATGTACCCTGGCCAAGTTTTTAAAATCCAGGGACTAAGCTGTCTGTAGGACAAAATGGGCAGTTACACTGCCTCTCAAATTGTTGCACATTGTTGTGAAAACAAAGCTATGGATGCTATTCTCGCCCGATGCCGCGCTTTGCACACAGGCTCACAAAACGCCTGCTGTGAACCCTACAAATCTGCAGGTGTAGAAGTTGAAGGAAACCCACCCCTGTCATCAGCGAGTTTCCTCCTGTGCAAAGCACACAGGAATTGCCTCAGGAAGGCAATATTAGCAGATGCTTGCCCACGCAGAGTAAACAGTTTACTGTCCTGCCTTTTGATTGCCACCTTTGAGAGTTGCTCTAGGACTTCTACTCTACTGATCCTCACTAGCTGGGTGTTTTCTTTGACAGGGGAGTTTGCACTCAAGCCCCGTGCTACTGTATTATCATGGAGTACTGTGCGCATGGACAGCTCTACGAAGTCCTGCGAGCGGGGCGGAAAGTCACCCCTCGGCTGCTTGTGGATTGGTCCACGGGGATTGCAAGTGGGATGAATTATCTGCACCTTCACAAAATCATCCATCGAGACCTCAAGTCGCCAAAGTGAGTCTCTAGCTACATAAACATCCTCCAGTGTGGTTGTCTTCTTTTTCCTTGAGGAATTGTTTAAAGTTAGGTCAAAAGCCCCATTATTTTTTTTCCATGTTGACTGAAAACTAATGAAACTAATGAAATTTATTGTCACATCTCTCCTGGGCTGAAGCTGGAAACTTTACCACTATCTTACATGATAAATAGCAGTCAGGAAATATTTCTAATGATTTGATGGTGTCTGGTCCTTTTTGAAAGTGGGATATTCTGTTGTCTTCTGCTTTTTTATTTTTCCTTCTTATTTGTTCTTTTGTTATTTCTCTGGTTTTCTAGAATGTGTCTTTCTCATTTCTCTGTTGCTTTCTGACTAAAACTATCTGACTGCTTATATTCTTAGTCCCTAGACGTTTATCAGTTCTTTAGCCTGTGACATGACTGTGACAGTGTGTTAGGATAATACTTTTAGATGGTTTACAGCACAGCTTAAGATACAGCTTTACTAAAATTTTAAAACGTCCCCAGATGTAGTAAATCTTCAGTGACTTGTTAATTTGCAATTTAGTCAAGATTGATTTTTTTTTTTTTTGACTTGGAGCATTTAGAAATGCATTTGAAGCACAAAATGCGACTGCCCCAAAGAGAGTGAGTGCTTTCGTCGGTGTAAATGCGTAATCTTTTTTCTTGTGCTGCAGTTGTGAAGAGCATAGCCTCATCAACCATTAGTGTTGGTTAAGAAGGGATTTACTCCCAGTGGCTGTTGTACAAGAAAAACTGCGAAATGCTGATTTCTTTTTATTTTTCCTCCAGCGTTTTGGTTACACACACAGATGCAGTAAAAATTTCAGATTTTGGTACATCTAAAGAACTCAGTGATAAAAGTACCAAAATGTCTTTTGCGGGAACTGTGGCTTGGATGGCCCCAGAGGTGATACGCAATGAGCCCGTCTCTGAAAAGGTGGATATCTGGTGAGTAGTATTAATGTTTAAGTATCTTCACCTTCTGTTTAGCTACTTGGTTTCCCAACACTTTACATGTTCAGCGCTTTTGTTTTCATTCAAGGCATGGGGATAGTTTGCTCTGCGGTGGACTCTTCCTTTCTCCATCTGCCTAGCGTCCCGACTTTGTTACTGAACCATGGGCTATAATGGAAAGAGAAGTGACATACGTGTGTAAGAGTTGTGTGCTGAGGTCTGAAGGTACCTAGTGGAACTCGATGCAGACTATCTGTGTCCTGCAGTAAGCACATGCCACAGTTCTTCCCTGTGTCATTATTCAGGCCAGAGCTTTCTTCCACTCCCGGTGCTTAGGGTCCCCTCAGCAATTTCTGTAGCCGGGGTATTTTCACTTGCTTTCTACCCTCTCAGGGCCTCACTTGAACTGTAGGGAGGCCTCTCCTCTGCTAGCTTGAAGGGTCTGATGAGCTTTTGTTTTCTCCATACTGGGCTTGGTTGTTGTATGTATGGCCATGGGATTATAGCCCAGTGAATCTAACCCTGGATTCAAGAGGGAGGAAACCAGGATACAGTGTAAGACTTTTCAATACCTATTTCCATCCCATGTGAAATGTCCTCTGTGCAAAGGAACTCAAGGAAAGGATCAGAACTCTATGCTATTAAAAATGCATATTAAAAATGTCCTCCGAGAGGACTGGGCCTCGGAGCTCCTTTGGGATGCCTCTCCACAGGTTTCAGGGTCCTCAAGGGAACTGCATCTCTGCTTCTGCCGTGTTATTTTTGCATATTAAATGTCAGTAGCCAGGACAAATGGCCTTCTCCCCGCTTTACAGCCAGGATGAATTTTCCTTCTTGCGGTTTTTCAGCTTCAAATGCTGCCACCTCCCTCACGCAGCATGAAGCTGCAGGTCAAAGCCGCGGGTGGCTCAGAGTGTGAGTGCAGTCCGACAGCAGCCTGCTGCTGGTGTTTTAGCTCGGAGCTGGGTCATGACTTGAAGTCAAGATTTCCTGTAGGGAA